ACCCTGAACTTGGTCTCAATGTGGCATCAAGCCCAGAGCCTCTGTGGCCTGAGAGCAGCTGTTGCTTCTGCTGTCCTCCTTTATGTCCTGACAAGCAGCCTGGACAGGTGGTGGCAAAGCCCAGATTGCAACCATAGACCCCACAGCTGGGGCAAGGGCAACAGAACACAGCTCCTGCCAGTTCCCATCCCTGAAGTTGGTGGCCTCCCCCTTTCTTGCCCACCCCCACCCCCCAGGTCCCAAGCTGTGATGACTTGAACAAGTATTGGCCGACACAAAGGAATTCCTCCTCCAGGGTGCCTCCCCTGGCCATGGCAACAGACAAAATTTTCACAGTATCCTCAGAACAGGAGCAGCCTGAGGGGCTCCTGTCACCCCTGGCCTCACCTCTTCATCCACTGGAGGTACAGGGACTCATCTGTGGTCCCCGCTTTCCTTCCCTTCCTGAACGCCTCGGCCAGGTCCCCCAGCAGCTGGAGTTCCAGAGACACGGCTCAGATCCTGGATTGGCAGGGAGTTAGAGCCACTGAGCCCCAAGATAAAAGATACCATGAGGGGATTGAAGGTGGGTGAGAGTGAAGGATTTGGGGGAGGCAGACAGCTGCCAAATGGGCCTCTGAAAACTATTCTCCTACTGTAGCTACAAACTGCCAACCCAAGTGACCCCCTAAGGCATGGGTGAAGAGGCTCAGGACTTTCCCAGACTCCTCTAGGGCTCTGTTTAGACAGTAGGCCTGGTGGAGGGTGGGTGAGGCTTGGGGGTAGAGGTAGCTCACAGGACAGAGGTGTCACTGAAGAAAGAAGTTTCTGATCTGCATGAGAACCTTGCTCTCAGCTGGGTACTATCACCTTGTGGCTCAGAACTATCTACCGCTTCACGGCCCAGCACCCAAGGTTAGTGAGACCTCCTGCCAAGAGCCTTTGAACCAGCTGGGGATGAAAGTGTCCTCTGTAGTAGACACATCAGGGCACAGAGCTCCAGCCCCCAGCCACTCTGCCCCTCATGGTTCTGTGATGCCCTTTGGGACTCTACCGGGCAGTGGAACATCTCACAGCTAATAAAGTCTGCACATTTCATGTTGGGCTGGGTGTGTTACTTACCCAAGGGTCATCTGTCCCTGATTGTGCTGTGAGTCCAACATTGTGGTCTTCTTCAAGTCCCTCCCACAAGGATCTGTGTGTTGAGAACCTCAAAGTGTTCTGCTGGGCCCAGGAACCCCAGGGGCATGGGGCTTTTAGCCAGGCTGGGGTAAAGGGAATTGGAGAGGCTCTGGCTTGGTCACCATCAAGAATCATGACAACAGCAAACACTTCCATAATGCTCCCCCTGTGCCATGCTCCTGCTGACATTTCTGCAGATACTAGTTCACTAAGCCTCACTACAACCCTGTGGGGTCGGTATTGTTGGCCTCATTTAAGAGATGAGGGATCAGAAGCAGCGAGAGGCTAAGAAATTTATGCAAGCATGAGGGGGACGTCTGGGGTGCTGGTACTTTCCTGCTTCCTGATCTAGGAGCTGGTGACATTAAGTATATTTCATATTGTGAAAATATGTGTACTTCTATGTGTAAATTATACTTCAATTAAAAAAAAAAAAAAGGAGTCTTGGAGCACCTGGGTGGCTCAGTTGGTTGAGCATCTGCCTTTGGCTCAGGTCATGATCTTGGGGTCCTGGGATCGAGTCCCGTGTCAGGCTCCCTGCTCAGCGGGGAGTCTGCTTCTTCCTCTGCCTCTGCCCTCTCCCACACACCTGTGCTCTCACTCTCTCTCTCTCAAATAAGTAGATAAAATCTTAAAAAAAAAAAAAAGGGAATCTTGCCTAACATTATGGGAAAATGAGGACATGGTTTCAATCCATATGGTCTGGCTTGAGAACATGCGCAGTTAATCGCTCCAATGAAACGGTTGTTGTCCAAAAGTACCTAATCATCAGTCCTCAGTCCTTTTTTGGTACTCCTTGAAAGAATTTTGAAGATGAATCCCTCCTAGCACATATACATTTTTAAGTTAACATTTGAAGTATTTCATTGATAAGTTTAAATAGTTGCAAGCATGTAATTTCCAGTATATTGTGAATATTGATACTTTATAAATTGCCTCATTTATATCGATTCATTTAGATCCAAGTAGCATAGTGATTTAAGAGCCAACATCATTCAGGGGCGCCTGGGTGGCTTAGTCGTTAAGCGTCTGCCTTCGGCTCAGGTCATGCTCCCAGGGTCCTGGGATAGAGCCCCACCTCGGGCTCCCTGCTCAGTGGGAAGCCTGCTTCTCCCTCTCCCACTCCCCCTGCTTGTGTTCCCTCTCTCTCTGTGTCTCTCTCTGTCAAATAAATAAATAAAATCTTTAAAAAAAAAAAAAAGAGCCAACACCTTCTTTTTTTTTTTTTAAAGTAGGATCCATGCTCAATGTGGGGTTTGAACTCATAACCTAAGATCAAGAGTGACATGTCTACTGACTGAGACAGCCAAGCACCCTTCACATCTTCATTTTCTTTCTTTCTTTTTGTTTTTGTTTTGTTTTTAGTGCACAATGGTGGTTTATTAAAGCATGGGGACAGGATCTGGGGGCAGAAAGAGCTGCTGCCTCTTTTTTTCTTTTTTTAAAACTTACTTTATTTAAATTCAATTAGTTAACATACAGTGTATCATTAGTTTCAGAGATAGAGTTCAGTGATTCATCAGCTCATATAACACCCAGTGCTCATTACATCACATGTCCTCCTTAATGCCCACCACCCAGTTACCCCATCCCCCCCCCCGCCTCCCCTCCAGCAACCCTCAGTTTGTTTCCTATAGTTAAGAGTCTCTTATGGTTTGTCTCCCTCTCTGATTTCATCTTATTTCATTTTTCCCTCCCTTCCCCTATGATCTTCTGTTTTATTTCTTAAATTCCACATATGAGTGAAACCAAATGATAATTGTCTTTCTCTGACTGACTTATTTCGCTTACCATAATACCCTCCAGTTACATCCACATTGTTGTAAATAGTAAGATTTCATCCTTTTTGATGGCCGAGTAATATTACATTATATATATATATACATATATGTATATATATGTATATATATACACATACACACCGCATCTTCTATTCATTTTAAAAGCACATGAATAGGGGCGCCTGGGTGGCTCAGTTGGTTAGTGGCTGCCTTGGGCTCAGGTCATGGTCTCAGGGTCCTGGGATCCAGCCCCATGTTGGGCTTCCTGCTCAGCCTGTAATCTGTTTCTCCCTCTCCCTCTGCCCCTCCCCCTGCTCATGCTCTCTCTCTCTCAAATAAATAAACTCTTAAAAAAAATAAAATAAAATAAAAACATGAGAATAAGCTCTTCTTTAACATTATTCCTTTTTCTCTTCTCATAATTCCATTCTATTCCACCACAGTTTATGCTACATGTAGTTTATTTCCAGATTTAAGGTCTATTATCAGTAACTTGATCATAACTGTTTGCAGCAAATATATACATATGAATTTTAAAATTAAATTTTTGTAACCTTACCAAGGCTTTAAGGATTATACTCATTAGTACAGAGTTGTTCAAAACAACAGATATATTTCAAATTTTTTTAAATTACTTTTTAAAGTTTTTAAAAAAATTTAAGTAATCTCTACACCCAACGTGGGGCTTGAACTCAATGACCCCAACATCAATAGATGGATGCTCTACAACTGAGCCAGCCAGGAACCCAAATATATTTCAAATTTTTATAGAAATTAAAATTTTATTGGAAATGCATATATAAAGGAGGGTATTTTCCTCTCATTAGCTCATGTGTGTGGATGAATATCACTTTTTTATTAGAGTGAGACAAGGTTCAGCAACACTTTTATACCTATTTTTCTTTCCTTTTTTAAAAAACTTAAGCAGAGAAAATTTGTTCAAATAAGTAAGCAGATGGAACACTAAGGGGTTTGTTATATACAGCAGTCACATAATTCTTTCTGAGTTGTTCAACAATCCACGATATTTAAAAGGATATTTAATGATACCATCTAGCAGTTCCTTAAGATTCTCCTTTAATTGCGTTGAAAGCAAATCATAGGAAACCATTTAAATTATAAAGAGATGTTACCTAGATTCAGACCCTTCTCCATTTCAAACTGAGGACACAGATATGTTTAGGGCTTGATTAGCTTTTGCCTTGGGCTCCGCTTCGGGGAAAGGGATGGAATGAACGGGAACCGACAAAAACTTAGGGCCAAGCAAGTAGGGCCGCGGACTTAACTGAAAACCAATCCTGAAATTCCGAGCGTTTCTAGAATGTCCAGGAAAGCGCGGGAAGGCCTGACTAAAGGTGGGTCGGTCTGCAAAGGCGTGTGCGCCTCCTGCCCTTGGGGGGACTGGGACAACAGCTCCCCGGTATACAGGGCTGTGGGCACCAGAAGGAAATTAAGGTGATTCCCGTTTGGCTGGGGCCAGGCTGCCAGGCCGCGGGCCCTTGGGTGAGGCAGAATGTAAATTTCCACTGGACAGCGTGGAGAAACCGCTCGCAATGGCAGCTGCAGAGAGGAAGTCAGAGCAGGTCACCCAGGGGGTTTCAACTCTCAGAGAATTGGCCTAGAACTCGGAGGCCTGCCCCGCCGCAGCTAGATAACTAGCCTCTAGGCCACCCAGGCCCCCATTCACCCGCAGTGCGCCGTTATCTCCCTGACTGACATCTTTCTCAGCCAATCACCTTTGGAGCTGAGAAAGCGCCTGCCCCCTGAAATTGGGCCGGGCAAGTCATTGGAATGACAAACACTTACGCCAATAGCGAAGGGTTTCAGAAGCTACGGATGCACTAGCCAATGAGGAGAAGGAACCTTTCGAAAGGACATGTCAGGCAGCCAACGGCCGGCGCCGCTACGGGGGTCGCGTGGCTTCCGTTTCGAGAGGGCGGGGCGGGGCTTCAAACGGAAGGTGGCTGTTGTCCGAGCCGAAGCAGGTTTGAAACTGGGGGTCGGGCCCGGCAGTCGTTGTTTGTCGCCGCGGCCCCGCTTCCGGGCTAGGCCGTCCCTGCCCGCCCCCGCCCCGCCTCCCTTCGGACCCCTCAGTCTCAGGCCCGGCTCCCCGCCTGACTCGCGCCCGGCCCGCGGCAGCTTGCTGTCGTCCCGGCCCGCACTGCGGCCCCGCCGCCGCCACCATGTCCCTGCACGGCAAACGGAAGGAGATCTACAAGTATGAAGCGCCTTGGACCGTCTACGCCATGAACTGGAGCGTGCGGCCCGACAAGCGCTTTCGCTTGGCGCTGGGCAGCTTCGTGGAGGAGTACAACAACAAGGTGGGCCGGGCAGGGGCTCGGAACCCAGCTGGCGGGGAGCGGGCCCCGGGAGCACCCTTTCCGGGCCGGAGCCCAGACCCCAGGACCCTGCTGCGGACTTGCCTTAGCGCCCCCGGAGCGGTTCCTCTGTGTCTGGCCCTGTGCAGAAGCTTTCGCACTCGTTATCTCATTTAATCCTGGCAGCATTCCTGGGTAGTCAGAAGCGTAATTACCCCCATTTTACTCTTGGGGAAACTGAGGCACCATGTTGTGACTTGACCGAGTCAGACAGCTATTTCGGGGGGGGGGATGGCACTCAAACTCGACTTTACACCCAAAAGCTACGCCATTTATCACTCCACTCCTCTCCCTTCGCGCCGCATTGCTTCAATTGGGGGGCGGATAGGGGAGGAGAGAGGGATGGCTGTGAAGAAAGATGCTGGTGCCTCAGTTGGTGGTCATACACACTCTTGGCTACACTAGATTTCTGTTAGGGCTCTTTACTGTGCGGGCTTCCCCGCCTCCTGCTCCCACCCCCAGGTACCATTCATGGATCCCCCAGCCCGTCTGCCAGGAGTGTCACTGCTATTGCTGCCTCATATCTGTCCTCTTAAAAGTGATCTCTTTTTGGAAATTTTGGTCTGTGACCGTGATCCTGCCACTGTTTTCTGAATAGAGAAGGATGACACTTTCCTTATCTTTTCTTGGCTTATTTCATGGTGATACAGAAGTGTAACCTTGAGTAGTAAGTCTTTCTGGACATTGACAACTTGAGGATCTTTCATAGAAGCACAGGCAGTAGGAGGAAGCTTTTTTTTTTTTTTTAAGATTTTGTTTATTTATTTGACAGAGAGAGACACAGCGAGAGAGGGAACACGAGCAGGGGGAGTGGGAGAGGGAGAAGCAGGCTTCCCGTGGAGTAGGGAGCCCGATGCGGGGCTCGATCCCAGGACCCTGGGATCATGACCCGAGCTGAAGGCAGACGCTTAACGACTGAGCCACCCAGGCGCCCCGGGAGGAAGCTTTTAAGCTGACATTGCAGCATGAATTTATTTTTGAAAGTTGTTGAATATGTCAGTGGGAAGAATTTTCTTTCCTTTATTCCTTAATCTCTTCCACTTACTGTATTAAACACTGTGAGAGTGATCAGAGCAACTGAGGGCCTTGGCTAGTGGTGTTTAAAGCCTTATACTCCTGCTTGAGACACCACGAACACCATGACTTAAGAAGAATGAAACTGTGTGGACAGTGATAGGCATGGTGCAGGGGGAAAAGCCGGGTGGAGTTTGGTTCTGTCTAGTCCACTGACTAGCTATAAGGTGTTGCACAGGTTAATTTTATTCTCTCACCCACAGTTTGTTGTAGGAAAAGAGTTCTTTTTTACACATAAAGGTCCTGTCAAAAAACATTTGTACATTGTGAGTTTGTTTACAGTTTTCCAGAAGTATTTCTCTAGAGTCTAGGTCTCAACTTTTCTGGAACCCTCCCCCCCCCTTTTTTAAAGATTTTATTTATTTATTTGAGAGAGAGTGGAGCGAGCTTAAGCACATGAGTTAGGACGGGGGAGGGAGAGGGACAGGCAGACTCCCCGTTGAGCAGGGCTCCATCCCAGGATTCCCCCAGGATTCAGGGATCATGACCTGAGTGGAAGGCAGATGCTTAACTGACTGAGCCAATTGATGAAAGCGACAGACTCTCATTGCCCAGACATAACACACACAATTTACACACAAATCCCTGGGACTACACACTGATATTAAAGTCCACCCACTGTCCACAGAAAGCAGAGAATCCTGAGCGAGACATAGTTTCATTTTCTGTAATGACTCGCTCTTCCTTACACCCCATGGTGGACAGCAGAATGGAATGGAATTCAAGGTCCTGATGTGGAAACTGGGTCTGTGTTAGCAAAATTGAGACTACTATAACTATTACTTAAGAATATATGTTTTAAAAAAGTAAATATATCTTTCAAAGGGCTTGAGATTTTTTACACAAATCGATGGCCCCTTTCTTCTTGCAAGGTCTTTCAGAGTCAATTTGGGTAAGCAGTAGCAGCCCCATTTCTAAGAAAGGAGGAACTGAGCCACAGATAGGCTGCTGGTGAAATCAGTGAAGTAACTAGGGTCAAACCTCATTTATAGGAACTCTACCCCAAAGTTTGTCCTTTCATTTAGCAACCTGATGGAACTCCTTTGTTCCAGGCACACAGGAAGTGTGGGTGCCAGGCACACAGGAAGTGTGGGTTTTGGTAGTGAAATATAAACTAATAATCCCAGTAATCACACCATAAGCAGTTACTTCTATCTTAACTCACTTGCATGATGCAGATGACACAGTATCTTAAAACTATTTTTGTGCACCAATCTGTCCAGGTCAGGGTTCTTAACACGTGTGTGTGTGTGTGTGTGTGTGTGTGTGTGTACATGTGTACGTGTGTACGCATGCCGTGGACACCTTTGGCAATCTGAAGCCAGTAGACCTCTTTTCATAATTACATTTTCAAATGCATAAAAAACATAGGAATATGAAGGAAATCGATTATATTGAATTACAGTTATCAAAAACATTTTTTAAAAAAGTGGAGCTATAGTAATATGTACTTTTTTTAGAGGGTGGGTGAGGGGCAGAGGGAGCGAGAGAATCTCAAGCAGACTCCCTGCTGAGCGCAGAGCCCATCATGGGGCTCGAGCTCATGATCCTGAGATCATGACCTAAGCCAGAACCAAGAGTCGGACACTTAATTGACTGAACCACCCAGGCACCCTTGTACTTTTAAATTAATTCATTAAATTACACCATCCAGTGTAATTATGACTATAATTTTATTTTTTTTATTTTTTAAAGATTTTATTTATTTATTTGAGAGAGAGAGAATGAGAGACAGAGAGCATGAGAGGGAGGAGGGTCAGAGGGAGAAGCAGACTCCCTGCCGAGCAGGGAGCCCGATGCGGGACTCGATCCCGGGACTCCAGGATCATGACCTGAGCTGAAGGCAGTCGCTTAACCAACTGAGCCACCCAGGCGCCCTATGGCTATAATTTTAAAGTAGTGATGAGGGTAAATAGCATTTCAAGATGTTTAATTATAGTAATGTGATATGATAAAAATCTGATTTCTGTCAGTGACAAAGTCAGATATTGACATGGCTGTGAGTAGCTGCCTCCCTTCGTAATGGAAGGAAATGCTAAATTTCAGTCAGAGGTTAGTGAAAATATGAATGTGATTTTCCAATTCAAGCTCATGGACCTCAAGTTAAGAAACCCTGATGAAAAGAATCTGTGCCTGGGGGCTGGTGAGCAGTAAATACCACTTTAACACAGTGCCTTTTAGGCTCAGTTTTGGAGAAGACTTTTACCAAGGAGGTGCCAGACTTCACAGTTTAGAGGAATTTAAAAGTTATTGGAATTTTCGGATCTTTGTTTCCTGCTTGCTGTTGATAATGATTGCCAGCAGAGGGCAAAATAAAGGGACGCAGCTTTTAACATGGGTGAAAAAGTCCAGAAATGTTCATCTTTTTTACTCTGGAGACACCGACATAAGAATACATGATTATAATTTCTAAATTTTTTGTAGTAATGTAATCATGTTTTTCCTGTAGTAAAATCATTTGTATTTGTAGTTCAGTAGAATTAAATTTATTTGCATTTCAAGAACAACTTGACTTTCAAGTGTTCCATCATCTGAATACATTTGGGAGTTGTTTCAGAGTAAAGAACTGGATTCTATCAACTACACCTGGAGTAAGAAGTCCCATAATCAGTATTGTGTTTCATCTCCTCTTGTGGTTTCTGCTGGGGCGTACAGCAGCATTGGTGTTGGAGTGGTGGTTCCCTAAATCTTAGTGTGTGTCTGAGACTCCCCTGAGGGGTTTGCACATTCCTGGGCTCTCCCCCAGAAGTTAACAGACACTCGGCGGATTCAGAAACAGGTGGTACAGATGGCACTCTAAGAACATTACCCTGGGATTACCTTGACATCTGCTGACCAGAAGCAGAAATCTTTATCTTTTTTTTGCATCTACATGCACCTGAACATTGATTCTTCTCTTCCATCCCATGCAAAAAGCTCTATTACCATATAGCCCCTTTGAGGTACTTTGTGTTGAGATCTCAGTTTGTGTGGCCTTGGGCAAGTTAACACCTGTGCCTCAGTTTCCTCATCTGTAAAATGAAGGTAATAAGATTAAATGAGTTAATGTATATGTAATGGGTTTAGGAACTCTGCCTGGGACATACATGGTAAGCAATTTAGAAATGTTGCTATTATTATTTAATCATCATCTTTACTATATCTGTATAATTGAAATATAATCAAGGAGAATTATTAGGTGTTAATATAAATGTGATTTATATTTTCAAGAGAGGAATCAGGACCCCAGGCCAGAAAGCTACCTCAGAATGTCATTATGTTCATTCCTCTGCCTTTTAAAGACCCAGAGGAAAAAATTCCCTTGATTCCTTTCAACTACACCCATTTTTGTGGTCTAGAAGCTTCTTGTAGTCAGACTCCAAGTACCATAATGTACTAGTTAAAGCCCATTTTCTCTTGTTCTACCTGACTTAGATACAGTAGCTGATACAAGAACACTGGTACGTCTCCTGAGTTTACCGGTGGTATTTGCCCTGTTTTAGGGCGAAAGATGAGTAGCAGCTCCTAGGCTTCTGTTTCACTTAGTTGCATGTTTCAGAGTTGGTTTTGAATAGAATTGGCAGAGTCATAGGGATTTATCTTGCCCTAATATTTATCTAACTGACCATTGTGCTTTAAGATTTAGCATCTAGAAAACATTTTAAGGTTCTGAGGAGAGAAATATAGGTATAGTATACCTGATGCTTTTTGAAGAATACTGGTAGTAAGACCACCTTGTACCTGAAATATACATGGGACGAATGCTTGCCTTCTCAGCCTGTGTTGATGCCTCTGAGATTTTAAAGCAGTTATTTTATCTATTTGGCACATAATGATTTTGACTGTGGCATATAAATTTTCACTTCTTAGTATTTGTGGCAGCTCTTCAG